ACTGCACTCTCTTGATATCCAAGTTATTTGATTACATTTTGATATCCAAAACGGTAGAGATATTGGAAAGTTCATAATATGAACGTTATGTTTTGGCAGGCAGATGTTATAATGGCCTTGGCAGGGTCAAGCGGGGGATCATGGTCTACGGTTTTGTCTCATAAGCCAAAAACAAACAATACAAGCGACAGTCCATACAAACTAGGCCAAATGTATGAAGGAGGCAGCTCTAGAGAAACACCGTTCTCGGCCTCGGAGTTTCGTGCAAGGCAGGGCCATCAAGCCAACTCTAGTGCCTGTCACCGGAACTTTACACAACCAGGTGATTTTCTTTAATAGAAAATCAGATTTCAGCAGAAATTTCGGTTAGCTTATTACAAATACACGGTCTAGTAGATTAAATAAATATTATTTTGCATTGTGAACAAAGTGAAAAGCTGTCAACTGTTCTTGGTTTTGTCAGCTTTGAATATTAAACCATGTGCGTCTATGATTTTCAGGTAGAGAACATCAAGGAAGCATCATCTCAAGGGGACGGGATACCAGAGACTCGGTTCACGTAACAGATCCTGAAAAAGAAGCAACATGATTAAGTCTGAATCCGAGGGATGATGAGTGTGGCTTTTCTTCTATGTTGTTATTTGTTCGACTTAATAGCCTTTTTCAATGCTTTGTTTTGTGCCTTCTAGGTTTGTATTCAAACTTCTCTTCCTCAATGATTAGAGTATATTAGTTTCCCATACCTAATATATACCCAATTGATCAACCAAACCTGCTGTTTCTAGACCTATAAATTTCCGTATCCTTCAGCGTGTAAGGCTGAGCATATGAATACAGCAAATCACAAAAGATCATGTCTTAATCTACTCTGGGCGAAAGTAGAGTCATTTTATATCACCTTATTCAATTCCTTCTTACGAGTCAGAGGCGTTTACAGCAGATATGTGACTCCTCAGCCTGTCATTCTTACTACATTCCTCCTGCGATTGAGAAATTTAGCACTATGCAAGTAGATAACTCTGAGGACTCAAAAGGCTCTACAGTATAGGCAGTTGCTTCCTCTTGTGTGCTAACCTGGAAGGCTTTTAGAACAATATCACATTTTCTTTGCTCTGCAGCTGCAGCAGTGTACTTTTCTTTTGAAGTATCACAGTGCCTTTGCTCTTCTTGAAGCCCAAGTTGCACCTTTCCTAACTTCTGCACTTCAAAAAGATTGTGTTATGAAAAATCAAACAGCTAAATTAATGCAAGTTGGACAAGGTTCATGCTTTGTGCCTCGAATACCTAAATGTGTATAACTCCAGTTACCTGTTGGATTCCTTTCATGACTCCTTCCATTGAATCAATTAGTTTCACACGGCCATCAGAAGTACCAATCACGTCTTGAAACTACACTCAAGTCAAGGGTTCACAAAGAAGAATGATGAGAAAATAAAAGTTTTGACTCACCAAGAGATATACTTGAAGGCAAAAGCAGAAACGTAAACCAACTTAGTTTGAACCTAGCCTTTCTTGACCGTAGATGCAGATAACCAACCAAACAATAATGCATGTAGTTTACCTGTGAACCTATTGAATTCAATAATGATATCTCCTTTAGCATCAAATCTTTTATATCTAAAAGAGCATTGTATGTTGCATAGAGCTTCCTAGTTTGTTGAAGTTTCTCCTGTTTTAGTCAGAAATTGAACATATAGGTTCATCAATCAATAAGCTAGTAAGCTCATTTTCAAGTATGAAACAAACCTGCAAAGCAACAAGGCAAATACTAATTTGACCATCCAAACCTGAATACAAACATTCAGCTCTGAGAATCTTCTTTCATATCTGCACGGAAAGATATACTGAACTTTAGCATGCAACAAGTGCATCAAAGTGGCAATCAGCCATAGTATAACTGGTTCCTAAAAGCTAGAGGCAAAGCAATTTGACTCCTGACACGATGATTCTGTATCTTTACAACATAATTAAAGATATGCTCACTAAAAATAGAGGGAGTGGGGTAAATCAGATTTATTGTTGAGATGGAAGAGTCTCAACGCGAAGTAGTACACAAATACAAAGTGCCAAATCTGAAGTAGGCAAGAAATGGGGGAAGAAGGACATACTGGAGGAGTTCAGACTGGCATGGCACATCATCAATCTGTCGCTTCAGAGAAACTATTTCTCTTAGCGTTGCTGCAAGCTCCTACAGTTAAACGAAGGGAAAGCAACCATAACATCCTTATAAAAATTATTGGAAAAACCTGAATCTGAATCTATGATGATGCTCTAAACCAATAACTAAAAGGTAAATATAGCATAGAAAAAGCACACCTTCTTTGCTGAAGTCAGCTGATCCAAAGATTCAACCAACAAAGCATCTAAATCTTCCTTTGAAATCTCACCATCATGACCCTTTGCAACTCTCTCCTCCAAATCATAAACCGCATCTTCTAAAGCAGAACGCTTAGCATTGCATCTAGCCCGGACTTCAGATTCTTGTTTTTCTAATTCCTGGAAATACCTAAGAGCTACTGAGTTTCAACGCATAGGACCGGCTACTCACAATTTCGTAACAAAGACACGAACTTCTGGAAACCCACAACACTTAGTTTACCTTGAATGATCTCAAAACCGGTATCAACTCTTGGACCGAAACATCAACACCTTCAACACTAATTCTTTCTTGCAACTGCTGCAGCTTATCCTTAACATCACATTTTCTCTGATTCTAAAGTTACAAACGGCAACAAAGTAAAAAACTATCAGTATGTTAATCAACTACACCAGTGTAAGACAGACTATTTGCAGCTCAAAATGGAAGAATCAAAAGCACCTGTTCGTTCACTTTCGCACTCAATTCTCTTACGGACGCCTGCAGATTTGTCACCATTTCCTCCCCATAACGACAAACCTGAGATTCCAGTGTATTATCAGAATTTGCCTAATCCAACAGATCAATGTCGCATCAAAATTTTTTGAGGAATCAATCAAATTATGCACACGAAATAACAAATCGAGGCAAATCAAGGAAAAAACGTTCGATGAAGCTCGTTATAACCTCTTCACTGCTTTCTTCTTTCCCCATCACTCAATCACACTAAACCGGGAATCCTTCCTTCGCCGTCGCCGTGATCCTTGACTTCAGCGACTCATAAGAACGATCAGAGACGACGGAGCCATCACGATTTACAACTTTAGCGTTTGCGATTAAAAAATTTTCGTTTTTGTTTTGTTACAACAGNGACAAAAAAAAAAAAAATCCTAATGGGCTTTTCTAAACTGGGCCGATTTAAAGCCCAATTCTTTGGTTTTTTCATAAGCGAGCGATTTCTTTTTGAAACTATTTTTTTTTCCAGTTCTTCTCGCCGGATCTTGAAATGAAGTCGGCGATAACTTGTACGAGACTGGCGATCTTCACGGTGACCGGAATCTTTCTTCAGATCATCGGACTCTCGATTTTTGTCTTCGGTTTCTTCCCCGTCAAGCCGACTCTCTCCGGCGTCAGGTTACTATTTATATAAACAATTGAAGAGGCGAAGACGAATCTACTCTATTGATTTCGTTTACATTTTTTTTTTCCGTCTTATGTAAAATGGCAGTGGTTCGGAGAGTTACCTGGATCCGTTTTGTGATTCCGCTATGAATTCGAACGAATCTGATCTTTATCCTGAGAAATTGAGATTGCTCTACCAGGTTTTTTTTAGTGTAATAGGTTACGTTTTGATTTGTTTGAGTGTATTTGGCTGTGTTTAAGCTTGATAGTGGTGAATTTGTATTGTAGGAATTATCTGGCATCTCTTCTAAATATGATCGGCTGATTTTGATGGTATGCACTTTGGATCTTGCTTGTTTAGTTTTGTGAGAGAATGTTTGGAGAGTGTTAAACAATATGCTAGTTTAGGTTATTGATGGGCTTCCTGCGGAGTTCGTTCTAGGGAAAGATGGTCAACCTCCAAGGAAAGTATGGAAAGAGTCTATGCCTTATACTCAGTCATTGTTGGCTAATGGAGTTGCAATTGGGTACCATGCTAAAGCAGCTCCTCCAACTGTTACGATGCCGAGATTGAAGGTGTGTCTATGTGTATCTTCATTCTTCGTTCCGAGGTTTTTAAGTGGAAGATCACAATTTGGGGTGTTAATTTCATTGTTTTCAGGCAATGGTATCTGGGGCAATTGGTGGTTTCTTGGATGTGGCTTTCAATTTTAACACACAAGCTCTATTAGATGACAACCTTCTTGGTAGCTATTTGTTTTGTCAATGAGAAGTGTTTCGTGCTTGCAAACACTTGCAATTGAAAGCAAAGCCATGTAACAGTGCTCCAATTCACCAGGTCAGTTTTTTAGGATTGGTTGGAAGATGGTGATGCTCGGCGATGAGACATGGCTAAATTTATTTCCTGGGCTATTTATGAGACATGATGGTGTTAGTAGTTTCTTTGTGAGTTTGTTTCCCCACCCTGTCCTTATATTATTTCCTAATCCATGAAATGTTACATTCATGTCTACAGAATTGTTTTACGAAAGATGCTTTTTCGGACAGGTCAAAGATACAGTACAGGTAGACAGAAATGTTTCCCGACACTTGCCAACTGAGCTAAATAGTGATGACTGGTATCTCTTGGTTAGTTTCTGTTCCTTTCTTATTCCCTTTTTTTTTGGTTCAACCCTTTCTTATTCCCCAGGATAGATATTTTTCCCCTTGAATGCCTATCCCTGTTGGACATATAGTGACTCTTAAAAACAAATCCTTGTTGGATATTACTTGAGGTTTTCTGTGCTTTATTCTTACTAGATCTACACCTTATCAGATCCTTCATTACCTTGGTTTGGATCATGTTGGACACACTGGCGGCCGAAACAGGTCTTTGCTAGTCTCATTACCCATTTGTGAGTAGAAATGTTACTAGTTGTGTGGCAGGATCATCTTATTATTTGTTTCTCTATTCTAGCCCCTTGATGGCTGCAAAACTTAAGGAAATGGATGATATAGTAAGAACAATGCATTTAAGAGCCATAATGGATCGTAGCCATGATCAAGGACAGACTCTTTTGGTGAGTATTTTTTGTTTTTGAAGCTCCATTTGACTTTCATGACAGAGTTATCTGATTTGGGTTTCATATACAGATAGTAGTCAGTGATCATGGCATGACTGAGAATGGAAATCACGGAGGATCTTCATATGAAGAAACTGACTCCTTGATGCTCTTTATTGGCTTGAGTAGCAATATTTCTGAAAATGCTGCAGTTACTAATAATGAAGCTTTCCAGGTAGAATAGTAACTGCTACTTTCATGATATCTTTCACCTCTTTTCATGTCAGTCAAGCATCTACATCGTTTGGAAAGATTGTTGATGAGAATGAGTTAAGCATTGATATGAAACCAACGGAATTTTTGTGATGTAGGTAGATTTGGCGCCAACTTTAGCTCTTCTATTTGGTGTGCCGATCCCAAAGAATAATGTTGGAGTCCTTGTCCCAGGAACACTCAATTCTTTAAGAGGTTAACTACTTTTTACCTCTTGCATCATTCAGTTCGACCTCTGGGAAAGCATTTGACTGTTCATCTTCACTACATTTGATCATTTCAGATTATGAGCAACTACGGGCACTAGAACTGAATTCCTGGCAGTTACTCAGACTAATGCAAGCACAGATACCAAGTTCCTTGTTTGGAGGCTTCTCATGCAATTGCTTGCTTGATCGAACATGCAAGGGTCTTGATTTGGATATTAGTGAGTGCTCTGGCGAGAAAGAGAAGCAACTAATTTGCTTGTTTAGGAACGCTGCTGTTCTCCATGGCATTTGGAAGTCCAAGAAATTGACAGAGTGCGTGATTTGTATGATTTCCACTTGCGGTTCTTCTGACTTTGAACTCCTTAAATTTAACTCCAGTAATGGCTTTGATGTTAATAGGTCTTACGGGGTGGAAGATTTCAGCAGAGCTTTAGATGCATATAACACCTTCTTGAAAACTGCAAGTGAGTGGTTGGCAAGCAAAACCACTGAAGTATGTTTGACATCTTCTCTTAGAGTTCTATGAACGTATTTTGGAAAAATGATGAATTTCATCTGTCACTAGTTTCCAAATCTAGTAAGAATCTATAGTATCACTGTATTTCTTAACATAACTCCTTCTCTATTTGCAGAAGCCTGTTCTCTTACTCGGTCTTGGAGTGAGTGCCATGCTTCTTTCATGCTTCGTCTGTGTCAGTCTCTTTCTGTCCTTATTCAAAGAGGTTTACCATGAGACCAAGGAACGAGTCTACAGTTTTAGTTATCGGTTGAATTTAGAAGATGTGTTCATTCTGGCCGTTCTTTTGATCCTTGTTATCAGTATGGGGTCAAGTTCGATGGTGGAAGAAGAGCATTATATATGGCATTTCATGGTATCAACATTCTATCTTCTGTTACTCTTCAAGACGGCAAAGTCGTTCAGCTTTTCCAAGGGGATGAACATACTCGGAGACTATAAAGTTTGTTCTGTCTTCTCGCTTCTTATATCTGGTAGACTACTAAGAGGTTGGCATCAAGGTGGCGTGAACTGGACTTACCTTCCTGATATTTCGAAGTGGCTTGAGCAAGTTGGCAGTGGTTATGTCAAATGGATTCAGCTAATCTCGAACTTCCTAGTTATTGGCCTGGGACTATTTACTCTCTTTCGAACAGGAACTAAGAGAAACAGTGTCCGCATCCTAGCACTTGGTTGCTCGACTTGTGGGTTCCTAGTCTTGCTGCACGCCATGAGATATCAGGATGATATGTTTGAAGTGTCAGCTGACTATGGAGCCACTGTCACAGCAAAAGTTATCTATTTGCTTCTTTCTATATCTGCGATTGGAGCTGCTTTAGTTATGCCATGGTCTATGCTAAACAAAGACAAGTCCTCTCTAGCTGAAACCGGTGATTGTTTGTATTTTATCGGCTCTGGATACATACTATGCTGGTGTCTTCTACAGCTACTTCTACAACAACCGATCAACTCGGGGCCCATACTTTTGCTACTCATCCAAATCCTAGCAATTTCATGTCTTTCGTCTAAAGGTTTGCAGGTCAACGAATGTGTTGAGGTTAGTTAGTTTGTTTTTTTGTCCGGTATCTAAAGCACAGCAAGGTCCTCAATTTAAGCTTTAAGGTTTGTTCTTTCTCTTCTTCTTGTAGATTGCTGTACTCTACTACATGGGAATGGCAGGTCATTTTGCTCTTGGCAACAGTAATACTTTAGCAACCATTGATGTTGCTGGTGCTTTTATAGTAAGCCATATGCTTCCTCGTTTTTTTCTTCTTCTAATTCACGTTGTGTGTACTCTTTACGCGAACACTGACACATTCACCAAACTTTTTTTCTTAGGGAATCTCTAGTCATTCTACAATACTTTCTGGGATCTTGATGTTCATGATCACCTATGCATCTCCAATGCTGTTCCTTTTATCTCTTGTCATGTACATTGGTGCAAATCTTAGAAACCGCTCACACTCAACAGTATCAGCTCACCAGGAAACGAGTCTTGGACAAATTTTGAAGCTCAACCTCGGGTTCCCTTGCCTTGTTCCTCTCTGTATAAATTCAATACTCTTGACCGCATACACTGTGGTCTTGCTACTCATGAGGAATCACCTCTTTGTGTGGAGCGTCTTCTCTCCCAAGTAAGTCTTTCATTCTGTCTTAGAAATCATCATGCTTTCTTAATTTCGGGTCACCGGTTCTAGGGGTGTTCAATCCATATTTTGATTCAGGTTTTCTTACAGCTTTTCAAAAATAGTAACGAAGGTATATCCGAATCTACTATGGATCGGTTTAGTTTACACGATTGGTTAATCGGGATTGAACATCCCTAACTGGATTATATTAGACCGATAAATTGGTGTTGATGATTGTTGTTGGTGAACAATGGGAACAGGTATCTATATGTGTGTGCAACCACTCTTTGCACATACATTGGAGTTTGTATCGTCGCTGTTACTGTAACCTACACAATCTCTGTCACTACTTTTCTTACAACAACAAGACACAACAACTCGTAGTTATGGTCTTTCTTTATTATGTAGGGAGAGAGAGAGATTTATAGAGATGATGTGATCCTGACAAAGATTTGATGTAGAAAGAACACTGAATCCCGTTTTTTTATTTAACATAATTGGAGAATCTATATATAACGTTTTTGAAAAAAGTTGTTTCTAACTTTGAAATAGTTATAACATCATCATAAAAATAAAGTAGAAGTATACCGTCTAAATTGAATTCAGTTAACTTTCATCTGAGCACTGAGTACTGGATTGGTAACGCAGAACAAAATTTGCCACAAACAAAGATAATAATTGTAACGACCAATCAGAGAAAACCTAATTGTTTTCAGTGTACACAGTCAATCAAAGTCCAAACAAAGTCATCGGATTTTAAAATTTTAAATCGAAAAAATAAATAGAAATAAAAACAGGATTTCTATCGAATTTATAAACAAAGTTTTGTTGGGTCTGGTTGGTAAGCAGAGATAAAGTGCTCATGTATAATGGTTGCTTCTAGTGACTCTGCAGCTTTCTTGTGGGACAAGTAACCTTCAATAAGTTGTACCAACAACAACCCTCTTCAAACTTTCACTCACCTACTTCTCATCAAACCTCAAACCCTAATTCCTTTATAAAT